TTTATCAAGCAGAAATTACTTTTTCACATAAAACTAGGGTGGTTTGGATAGCATTTTAACTTCTTAATTAAAATTAACATTTGAAAACTGTTTTTTATATTTCCTAGGATCATATTTGATATTACAAATAGTTTAGTGATCCATGAAGTGCACTAAAAAAGCCAAAACATAAGAAACTCGGTCTTTTTTCGGTTTGAGCAACATTTTAACTTCTTACCGTATTTTCCGGACTATAAGTCGCACTGAAAACCTTAAATTTTCTCAAAAATCAGCAGTGCACCTTATAATACGGTGCGCCTTATGTGTGCACTGAATTCCAAAATATGTCCCTGACACAGAGAGTAAGGTGTACAGTATGTACACTGGCAGCGATAAACCAATCAGAGGACATTACGTAATATTAAAGTGCATACGCCAGGAGAAATAAACCAATCAGAGAATTGTTGTCCGAGTTCTGCAGCATAAGCCTCCGGTAAAAACCAGATAGTTTGTTGCACACATCACCGTCCCTGTTCATCTGCGACTCAATGCACGCCCATATCACTGCTACTGTGAAAAAGGAAGTGAACCAAACTAATTCAGAGTTTGCCGTCATTCCAGGAGGATTTACAAAAGAACTCCAACCGCTGGACATTTGTGTAAAAAGGGCGTTCAAAAAGAACTTGCGAGCGGCCTGGGAGCAATGAATGACAGACTGCGAACACACGTTTACAAAGACGGGGATGCAGCGCCGTGCGAGTTACGCCACCATGTGTGAATGGATTGTGGATGCCTGGGATAATGTATCTGCCTTAACTGTTCTCCGAGCTTTCGCGAAAGCCGGCATCATTGGTGAACAGCCATCTGGCAACAAGTCTGACAATGATGAGAGGGAACCCGACATGTTTGATGGCGAAATTGCCCAGCTGTTCAATTCAGATTCAGAAGAGGAGGACTTTGATGGATTTGTGGAAAAAGAATAATAAAATAGAGTTCAACTAAGTTGAACTCTATTTTTTTCCGTTACGTTTTTTTTTTTTTGTTTTTTTTGTTTTTTTTTTTTGTTGACCGTATGTTTTATCATGCGTTTTATAATCCGGTGCTCCTTATGTATGGGTTAAATACAGAAATGGACGCCATAATTTTTGTGCGCTTTATTCCGGAAAATACGGTAATTAAAATTAAATTAAAATTAACATTTGAAAACTGTTTTTTATATTTCCTAAGGTCATATTTGATATAACAAATAGTTTACTGATCCATTAAGTGCAGTAAAAAAGCCAAAAACATAAGAAAGCTCGGTATTTTTCAAGACAACGCATTTCATACTCAAAATGATAGTTTATTTGACAACCATTGCACTGCATGTAAGTAGATATTTGGAATTTGAAAGAATATCCAGGATCAAGTAGCTCAATACTAAGCACACATACCTTTCATATATCTCATTTTTAGTCGCTATGGCCCATGCTGCATTAGGGGCGCCGCTCTGCATCACAGCCCTTTGAAAGAGGCCCTGGCTGCCTGGAGAGACCAGGTGGAACCCCACAGATGCTGCCCCAGCACTCTCCCCAAATATTGTTATCTGGGAACAAAAGTAAATGCCAGTACATTTACATTAATTCATTCAATATTACTCTCTGATTTTAGGAAAAATAAGGACAATTTTATTTTACCTTTTTAGGATCACCTCCAAATGCAGCAATGTTATCCACCACCCATTTAAGTGCCAAACGCTGATCCAGTAGACCTTGATTTCCCCGGATATGTTGGTTTCCATTAATAGCTAGAAATCCAAGTGGCCCCAGTCTAAAAATCATGACCACAAGAAAGAAAAAAAAATACTAGCAGCAGTCAACATGTGTCAGTGCTGTACTCAACATATTTTTCTGTCACTTCCACCTTGTGTTCAAACTGACCATTGTTATCATTTTTGGAGATAAAGTGTTGTAAAGGAAGCTTTATACAAAATATAACAATAACAAGAAAAATTATGTCAAAATATGTAAAGCGTTGGAAAACTAGTTCATCTTATGGATTTTTTTATTTGCCTTCTTCTTGGCTGTAGGGAGTGAATATGAACATGTTTATATTAATGTTTCCAAGATGAATACTAAAAGAACTAGGATTGGGTACACTAGTGGTTTCAATTGAAATGTTTTCTCACCTGTAATTCATAGATACCACAACAACATTCTGAGATTTACACAAGAAGTGGCCTTGGTAGACATTCAGGGTGGATGTTCCTGACACAAAGGCACCTCCATATATCCAAACTAATACAGGAACACGATCTTCCGGTCTGGGTGTGGGGGTCTTGTAGTCAGGGCCCCAAACATTCAAGTACAGACAGTCCTCACTCACAGGGGTGTTTGGATTCCACATCTCCGCACCTTCAAACCCTGCAACAATATCACATTTTTATTAACAATAAAGTTTAGTTACAGCCAGAGCAGCTGCAAGATTAATCAAACCTTTGAGCCAAATGAATCCTTAGTCTTCATCACAAGCATTTCACAGACTAGATATGCTGAACTAGCTCTTATATTATAATCTTCACGTTAAAGACCATTTATGACAAATACTGTGCAAAGTCATGGATCACTCCATAATTTCTTGATTATTGACAAGCCAGGAACAAGGCATGTGGTGGAAGAGAGTTTTTTACAAGTTTTCAGAGTTGGGCATAATTCCTGTAGATTATCTGAATGTCTTTAAAAGCTTTTCATTGGACATCAGCTGCTTTTTCACTTATTTTCAGAGCCAAAATTTTTATGTAGTGTTGGGCTGTTCATCGCTAAGTAGAAGGTTTATAATTATAATGATAGCTTTATAAAGTTCATTGGGATACTAATTTTAGTCAGCACATAAAGAAAAAGTTTAGTCATTTTCCTCATGAACGTGAGTACATTGTTATTTAGAAATTTTTTATTTAGTCTTTACACTGGTTCCCTATAGCTCAGAGAACAGCTTATAAAATACTGTTATTAGTTTATAAAACACTGAATAAATTAGCCCCAAAATGCATAAAGATCTGCTGTTGTTGTATCAACCTTCGAGACCTCTGAGGTCTTCTGGTTCTGGTCTGCTCAGCATCCCCAGAACCAGAACGAAACACGGAGAAGGAGCATTCAGCTTCTATGCATCACATATCTTGAGCAAAGTTCCGGAAAATTGTAAAACACTGAGTGCCTTTAAATCTAGACTGAAAACTCACCTGTTTTGTTTAGAGTTGCTTTTGAAACATTATGAATGAAATATTAAATGCCATTGTTAAATTTTTAATTGATTATGTTTCAAAAGCAACTCTAAACTGGTAGAGTTTTAGTCTAGATTTAAAAGCACTCAGTGTTTCAGCTGTTTTGCAATTTTTTGGAAGTTTGTTCCAGATTTGTGGTGCGTAGAAGCTGAACGTTGCCTCTCTATGTTTGGTTGTAATTCTGGGGATACAGAGCAGACCAGAACCAGAAGACCTGAGGCATCTGGAAGGTTGATACTACAGCAGATCTTTAGTGTATTGTGGAGCTAAGCTGTTCGGTGATCAGTAAACTAGTAACAGTATTTTACAGTCTATTCTCTGACCTACACTTTAAAACTGGGGTGGTGTTCTCCGTCTTCCTGTTTTAGTCAAATTGTGAGCAGCAGCATTCTGGATCAGCTGAAGGTGTCTGATTGATTTTTTATTTTTATTTATGCAGACCTGTAAAGACATTGTTGCAGTAATCAATGCGACTAAAGATAAACACATGGATGAGTTTCTCTAGAACTTGCTGAGACATCAGTCTTCTAATTCTGGAAATGTTCTTCAGGCTGACTTTGTAACTGTCTTTATGTGGCTCTGAAGATTCAGAGCCACTTAAAGTGATGGGTGTAGTGATAAAATTTGGGTCCATCACTACACCCAGATTTCAGACCTGATCGCTGGTTTTTATTTGTAATAACAGAAACTGTGCATTGACTCTAGATCCTACCTTTTAAGGGCCAAAGATAATAATTTCAGTTGTGTTTCTGTTAAGCTGGATAAAGTTTTGGCACATTCACACATTTATCATTTCTAATCATCTTTTCAGTTTGGATGAGTTTGGAGTCACCTGGTGACATGCGAATGTAGAGCTGTGTATCATCTGCATAGATAAGGTGGCTAATCTTATTACATGTTATAACCTGAGTTACTGGGAGCATATAGATATTAAATTAGAGAGGTCCTAGGATTGAACCCTCCCACATGGGACTGCTTTGATGAGAAGTCATCTATTGAAACTCTTTATGTAAGATTAGAACCAGTTGAGTAGTGGACCGGTGAGTCCGACCCAACTTTCCAGTCGTTTCAGTAGTATGTCATGGTCATGAGTGTCAAATGCTGCACCGAGATCCAATAAAGCCATCACTGGAGTTCTTCCACAGTCTGTGTTTATGTGAATGTCATTGAATACTTTGACGAGGGCAGACTCAGTGTAAAGAACAGAACACCCTTCATGGGAAGACAAGTCATTTTTACTGACAAATAATATAGAGGTGCAAGATGAAATTAAACTTACTTTAAAATATCTTGAATTGTGTATTCTCGAATCATACCTGGAAAGGTGGTATCATGTATCTGGTAGCAGGAATTTGGTAATGCACCGGCATCTTTCACATGTTCCCATTTAGGCATCGGAGTCGGAGGCATGAATCTGTAAGATCCAACAGGCGGACGTGCATATGGAATACCAAGAAATACACGAATATATCCATCCAGAACTTTCATGACCCTCCCTCGAACGCGTCCGTATTTGGTGTAGACTATAGGTTGATTTTCATTGGCAAATGATGCAGTCAGGATGAGAAGCAGCAGAAGCAAAGGCTGAAAGGCTGCCATGGGAAATCTAAGGAGAAAGCAAAGGAACAGATACCCATTATTATTATTCTCTCAAGAATTAATAATTTTAATAAATTGCTTGATTTTATCAAGTTGAGCGGTGTCTTATGCTCAACTATATTCACTTCTTTCATTGTCTGATTTTATGGGATCTTATTTTGTGTGCCGTTTTAAATATTCACATCTCTCTATATCTAGTTTATTTATTTATTTATTTATATTTTATATATTCTTCCTGGCACATTAAGACTACGATTGTCATGTGAAATGTACTTTGTAAAAAAAAAAAAAAAAAAAAAAATCACTTGATTTAAAAGGGATTTTCCCTTTAAAAAAAA